TTTCCACCCTTAAAAATTCGACGACCTCCGCCGGGTATTTGAACCCGCGTACTACGAGTCATGAGGTGGGAATTTTACCTCTAGACTACAGAGGCCACTATTGTTAGAAGTATGTATAGGGCAGGTTCACTCAGGGCAGTGGTGGAAGAAATGAGTATGAGTATGAGCCATAAAAACTGGCCCTTGCAATGCCACCTTCATTGAACTATTGTGCTTCCCCTTTGGATTAACCCTTTATTAGTTCTACACTTCGAATGAAATGCAGGACTTTATTTATGTGGGCGTCATGAAAGTCACTTGTTTCCACGAAGAATTGACCCAGGTGGCGATATCCTAGGTATGCTATAGCCTCACAATCACATAAGATGTGTGTCTGATTCATCTTCTTGTAGGCACCTTTCACAAATCCCTGTTTGAAAAGTTGCCTTTAGGTGTCAGTGTCCAGTAAGTAATCCTACCACCCATCTTAGAAATAACTTAATGAAGGATGAGAATGTGATCAGCTTGAAGATTCCCACAACATTTTGAATAGGTGGAAGAACTACTTCTCTCAGTTACTGAATGTACATAGGGTCAGTGATGTTAGGCACATAGAAATGCATACGGCTGACCCATTAATACCTGATCCCAGCCCTTCTGAGGTTGAAAGTGCTATTGCAGAATTGAAAAGGTATAAATTGCCAGGTAGTGATAAAATTCTGGCAGAACTTATTCAAGCAGGAGGTGAAATATTACGTTGTAAGATCCATAAGCTAATTACTTCTATTTGGCTTAAGGAAAAATTGCCTGATCAGTGGAAGGAGTCTTATTGTGCCAGTTCACAAGAAGGGTGTTAAACTGACTGTAGTAATTATCAGGGGATATCACTGCTATCAACTTCATACAAAATTTTATCCAATGTTCTTCTCTCAAGGTTAAGTCTATACATAAATGAAATTATTGGAGATCATCAGTGTAGGTTTCCATGTAACAGATCAACTACAGATCAGATCTTTTGCATTCGTCAGATATCGGAGAAAAAATTGGAGTACAGTGAGACAGTACATCAGCTATTTGTAGATTTCAAGAAAGCCTATGATTCAGTTAGGAGGGAAGTATTGTACAATGTTCTGAAAGAGTTTGGGATACTCATGAAACTAGTTAATCTGATTAAAATGTGTTTAAAGGAAACGTATAGTGAAGTCTATGTAGGTAAACAGTTGTCTGATAAATTTCCTAGCCAGAATGGTCTAAGACAAGGAGATTTTTTTTCCACTCCTTTTCAGCTTGGCTGTAGAATATGCCATTAGGAAGGTCCAGGAAAATCAGGTGGGACTGAAATAAAACGGGATACATCAGCTGTTGATCTATGCTGATGATGTGAATCTACTGGGTGATAATATAGATATGATAGAGAAAAAAACACAAACTTTAATTGACGCAAGTAAGGAGGTTGGGCTAGAAGTAAACACAGAGAAAACTAAGTATATATTGCTGTCTCATCACCAAAATGCAGGGCAAAATCATGACATAAAGATAGGAAACATATGTTTTGAAAATGTGGCACAGTTCAGGTATTTGGGAACGATAACATATGAAAACTTGATTGAAGTAGAAATTAAGAGGAGATTGAACTCGGGTAATGCTTGCTATCATTCAGTCTAGAACCTTTTGTCTTCTCGTCTGCTGTCCAAAAATATAAAAATTAGAATATACAAAACTATAATTTTGCATGTGGTTCTGTATGGGTGTGAAACTTGGTCTCTGACATTAAGGGCGGAACATAGACTGAGGGTGTTTGAGAACAGGGTGTTGAGGAGAATATTTGTACCGAAGAAGGATGAAGTGACAGGAGGTTGGAGAAAACTGCATAATGACTACATAACTTGTACTCTTCTCAAAGTGTAATTAGAATGATCAAGTGAAGGAAGATGAATGAGGTGGGCAGGGCATGTAGCACAAATGGGGAGAAGAGGAACGCATATAGGATATTGGTGGGGAAGCCAGAAGGAAAGAGACCACTGGGAAGACCACGGTGTAGGTGGGTGGATAGTATTAAAATGGATCATAGATAGGATGGGATGGATTGGATTGATCTGGCTAAGGATAGGGACCAGTGGAGGGCTCTTGTGAACACAGTAATGAACCTTCAGGTTCCATAAAATTCTGAAATTCCTGCGTAGCTGCAGATTTGGCTTCTCTTCAAGAAGGGCTCAGCTCCATAAGTAAGTAAGTAAGTAAGGTGGAAGATCCAGTGTTATGTTTTATAGTGCTCAAATTTTGTTTAGATCACTGTGGCTGTTCATGGGAAAACCCTATGTCACCAAGTGAGCAATGCGAATCAGAGAGATACAAGTGGCACCGTCCAATGCATTGTCTGAAGAATTGGTGAAGACAGGCTGCTTTTCACCTCAAATTTCAGACAAATTTTAATTTATTTTTAACATTGTACTTTTAATTTCCTTGAAATGTACTGGAGACCGCCTCTGTGGTCTAGTGATCAGAGTTCCTGGCTACAGATCCAGAGGTCCCGAGTTCGATTCCCGGCGCTGATAAATAGTGGTCCTCAAACGTAATCCACTGAGCCTAGTGAGGATAATTGAGCTATTTCAAGGAAATGGCGGCTCTGGTTTAGAAAACCGAAATTAACGGCCGTTCTATCAGCTAAAGTTGACACTAACTTCGCCGACAAGCGGCAGTCGTTCGGTCGGAATAGTTCGTTTGCGAAATAAAGCTGCGGAGATTGTTTTTTAAATTTATTGGATTACCGATACAGCGAAGCAGCCAACGATATTAGATAATCTGAGTATGGTCGTGTAAAGGTAAAACGTGTTTCATTAATAACGAATGGAATACGACAGTGTGGCAGTTAGCACATAGCCATTGAGACAGTTACGAAAGTTGCTTTAATATAACTGGAAATAAAGGAAGAATTATTCATTATGTTCAGCTTGGAGGGGGAGGGGAAGTGGAATAGTAATTAATCTTCTTACCGACTGGCCTTTTGGAACTGGCTGTATGACTTCTCATTCCGAGCACTTTTCCCCCAATAGCGTATATAGGCATCGTGTTGTGATTGGTTCAGGTAAGGGACGGATATGGAAGTGCATTGCTAGTAATCCGCGTCTCTTTTTTGCGTTACCCACCACTAGAGGTCAGCTGCGAACTGTACTTTTGACTTGTGAGTGGCAGGCGCGGAACTCTGCAAATATTTAGTAATCCGTGCGAATGACAAAGTAATTAATTTTGTGGACGTTTCAAGCAATGGTAGATGTTGCTGTGGTTGAGGTGGTTACTGTTGAAAATGGCGTTTGCTGTATGTGGTAACATAATGAGGACTATGATGTCTAGATTCGTTGTCTTGTAGGACTCCTACGGAATAATTTCAATCCTGGATATTTTAATTACAAATACTTGTATTATTTTGTTATGTCTTTTTTCTGTTACGATGATGGATGTAATAGTAAAACTGAACAGTCAGACTGCTGGAAGAGATAAGATTGTGCGGTGAGTACAGTTGTCGATTCAGATTTTGCTTTTTAGGAACGGCGGCTCGATGGAATGAGATGTTTAACATGCATGGAAATTTGGTATTTGGGTGTATTAGAGGATTATGTACACAGTTTAAAGTAGGTTCCTCATACGTACTCGGCACAATTGATGTTATGAGATTAGTTAAATTTTATGATTACACTTTTTTTTTTTTTTTCAAAATATGTTAAAACCAAAGGAGGCGGGTTCGAATACCTCCATCGTAACTCTGCGAGTCGTAGGAGGCGACGAAAAGGGAACCCAGTGCCTGAGGGTATAACTAGGCTGCCCTGTTCTTGGGGGTATGTAAATACGGGGACTTGGTCCTACAGGTTGGGGGAGTCACGAATCCGATACAGCAAAATATGGTCATGAGACCCACGGGACCAGAACCTGGTAATGACTGCCCTGGCTTGGGCCAGCAGCAATTATAATGACATCCATCCTTTGGTCAGAGAGGGCGCTCCACGTCAACAAACCCGAAACTGTGACAATAATAACAATTTGGTTTTTTGTCCCAGGTGGTTGCTTGACACCTAAACAGACTGGCCTAGTGACTGTTGGTTGCAATATAACTTTGACTTGTTAGCTGGTAAGGACATGAGGGCAGAAGCTGTAGAAACTCCACTGTTGTTAGCTGTTAGCAAGCATTGACCACTGAAGACCATGACAGACTGAGACTTAGGGTATGCTGAAGTGATCTGTAAAGTGTGTAGATTACAAATATAAATCACTCCATCCAATGTGACCTGTAAGTTTATTACTACATGAAAAACTTAACACCCTTACATGTTTCGGTCTCTGCGGACCATCTTCAGAGGGCAAACATCACTACAAATAGGAAACCACCTTCACATAAGTTGTTTAGATGTAAAGTACGTACGATTATATGTTACAATGCATAGTACACAAAATAGAACATTTCACAAACACAGCAGTTTCCTGGGAATGTAAAGTTTTTAAAAATTATTTAAAATTTCTTGATGCTAATTAAAAATTTTGCGTTGTCAATAATTAAAATTCATAAACCATGCAGGCTCGTGTTCATCCTCCCATCGTCCCTCTTGTATGGAGCAGATATTGTGCCACCTGCCTATCTTGATGTGGAGGTTCTTTATATCTTCCAGGGTTTGCTCGTGGCTGTTGTGCTGTTTTCACTGTTCACTGAACAGTAAATATTGTAAATTGGTTACTGTAATACAACTAACTTTATTCAACTTTCACACTTCTCTTATATCATAAACTGGTTTTTAAATAACTGTCGTATTGTATAAGCATGATTGGTAAATAATATTTGGACCGAATTTTTTATCTTAAAATTGTCAATGTCTTACGTATTATTTTCAGGATAAATTTTTATGTGTGATTTAAATCTTGTATACTATTAACTTGTTATTTTGACAACTGCTTGATTTCTAAGTAAGATGAGTTTGTATTTCTGGACAATTTCCATATCTATTGGTTTTTTCAACCTTGTAAGTATTTTATGGAATGTGAATAAATGAATGAATGAATGGATGAATATTTGATGGGTATCTGACAAAAGTTACTGGTCATGTTACATGTAGTTTTTGTGACGTAAATATATTTGGAACAAAATTACAGCATGATGATATATATTTGCGTGTCTTTAGCATACACTGTTATGACATGTACAGCCAAACTTTTGACAGATTTCTTGATTGGTTAAGAGACGTAAGAAACCTTAGTATCAAAGAAATGGACTTCCAATTCCATACAAAAGCGAATAATTTCTTATTCAGCTGAGTGTTTGCTTCTCAAGAAGGATTCTGCTCCATAGATGTTGTAAATGTAAAGAAGTAGCAGTAGAGCAAGAAACTTTTTAGCTAGTGCAGCAAATTAATTATGTAAGAACTTGAGAATTTGATGGCATATAAATGTATACTGTATTTTAATAATAGAACATACAAACTTATGCATGTTGGTGCTTAAATTATATATATTGTTATTTTAGATTGCTGCAGTATGCAAGCAAGGCAGCATGGCATTACATGCAGCAGAAGCAGCTCAGCAGGCAGTCTATAGATCAACTGAAGAGCCTGGAATACACCTTTAGTTCGTTTAGGAAGTGTAAGTTTCTGATAGTCTTAAATTGTGAAAGTTAGAATGTACACAACTGTAATTTGCATGTGGTTCTATATGGGTGTGAAACTTGGTCTCTGACATTAAGGTTGGAGAAAACTGCATAATGAGGGGCATCATAACTTGTACTGTACACTGAGTATAATTAGAATTATCAATTCAAGGAGGATGAGATGGACACTGACATGTAGCATGAATGGGGGTGAAGAGGAATCACATGTCACTGATTCCACTGTTTCACATGCAGTATGTCTTCCAATAAAGCGTATTAAAAGTTACTCACTCTGAAAGTTTTGCACATCATATAACTTTTAAAACTTTTTCACTACATATTTTGACCAATATGGTGAGTATCAGGTGTTTAAAATTATAGCTGAGGAAACTGATATGCTTCTGTTATTGTGGCTTTGGTTATTAATTTTTTAATGTATGGGCCCCTCTATGTGAATGTATATCTGTTACATGCATAAATATCTCCTATTAGAATTTGTATATGTGATGTGTGTTAATGTATCGTAGGATTACTTGTTTATATACTTCAAGTAATGGATTATTTTTCCTGTTGTGTTGTGCTGTGTATCTTTTTTATGCATGCTTACTAATCTGGATTGATTCTATGTTTTATAATGAGTATGTGTCTCTGTCTGGTGTTTAATTCTTGTAATACTTCAAATATCGGGTTATAGACATCATTGTAGACTGTAACAGTACTTCCTGTTTAACTGTGGAAATGACAGCCCACTTATTGTCCCACGAGAATGAAAGGCATACTTGCAGGGCTGTCCCTTGACCATCTAATTGTCATTCGATACAATCCTCCTTGGGCTTATGGCAACAAGGCTGGTCATGGAGATAGGATCATAGGCTTCACTTGAGTCTGGTATCCTCTCAATGGCACCATCATTGTCATTAACATCATCAGTTTAATTAGTTAGTTAGTTATTTAGAGAGGGTGGGATTTCCCCATGCACCACGACCAGTTTGATCTATTGTGCTTCCTCTATGATATTCTACTAGTCTCTTTACCCTACCGATAAATGGTGCATACCATCAGTCCCGCCGAGCAAGCGAGTTCGGCCACTTGCTTAGCGGTGTCTATAATGCTTCCCCCATCTATCAGAGGCCTTAGAGACTATTGTTGGGCGGGAAACGTCGTGGAATTTGGCTCAGTGATCCCCTTTGGGGATATGAGGTTCTTTTACGTGCCGTAAAGTTACGACACGGGACACACAGCTTAAAGTCCTTCCCGGAGGACTTGTTCCCTGAATTTTTCCGCCCTTAAAAATTCGACGACCTCCGCCGGGTATTTGAACCCGCGTACCACGAGTCATGAGGTTGGAACGTTACCTCTAAACCATGGAGGCCGCTAACATCATCAGTTTACTTTAAGTGTTATCTTCCATCATGCTAGGGAGGTATTTTGGGGAATCAGTCTGTGATTTGGTGCTGAGCAAAACCTGCCCGGAGGGGTCATAAATTACTTGCACTTGTACCTTGAAACCTGAAAAGAAGGTTTACGATAAACATCTTGTCAAACCAAATGCGGGACAGGCTTCCAGTATGGCCCTCGTTCATTTCCTTTTTCAATTAATGACCACGTAGGGACTTGTAACTGGGAGCTACATAGATGTTGTGAAAGAAGTCTCGGCTGGGGCAAGAGAAAGAGGCTAATTAGAGTTGGAGTCGGGAAAAAGTTAGGCAGTCAGATATAGAGGAGGGACAAGTGAGTTGCAGTTGGAGATGTGGATAGTGAGTAGTGAGTGGGCAGTGAGATTTGAGTTCTTTGGTGGGAGTCAAAGTAATAATAACAACAGTAGTGTAATCGGCAAGGTGCAAGCTTAGAGGAGGATTAGCATAACGTACCAGTAGTCTCTGTACTCATCATTTAACTAAACGCTAGAAATACATGGTGTTATCGTCTGGTGATCCTGTGATTCATAACTCCCAAAGTGTGTTCCCATCCCAGTCACCGAAGAGCCTGTATCCATGAGAAAAGGATCTCATACCTCATAATAGTCATGGCATACATCTTAGGAACTCTGCTGGCAGCTGCATGTTATCCGGAGGCTGGTATCTTTAGGACGGCTGCTGTAAGGATGAGTAAAAGACATTAATGTATGTGTCATTTGCAGTCTGTTTTTACTCATTTTATATATATGATATTTCTCTAGTGTGTTTAGGTGTTTTCCTTTTATCTCTATTTTTGTGACTTTCGTTGTGTCAGTTATGCTCCTGTATGCATGTCCTGTATATAATACCTGATTTGAATATCCTGAGTTACCGTTATTATTCCTGATTGCCTGTATGTTTCCTTTATGTCTAGTATGAAATGTTTGGCCTGTCTGCCCATACATTAACTCTTTGACTGGTGCGGTATTTAAATACCACCCCTGTCCTGGCAGACCCTTTAAGTCACTAAAATGCATGCGTTTACTTTTTTTTAAATAACTTCAACAAAAATTGGTTTTTAGAAACGAAATTTTCAGGAACTAATAAAAAGACAGTATTTTATGCAAAAGATGTCTTTTCATACCTTTTTAATAGTTTTTCTTCGTGTGATAAACATTGAAACATGAAAGTTTGCAGAGAGCCACACCACCTTGTTTCTTTTCTGATCTTTGGCTTAGCACACATGTGACACTTTCTCATGGCACCATTCTTCTTCTTGTTACTGGGAGGAACATGGACCATTTTCTGTATTTTCAGGCCACCCTCTAGACGATTTGCTGGGTCCTTCACTGGTGGTCTTTTCAAGGTTGCGGGCAGAGGCGTGACTGCACTCAAGCCTGAAGCAGTAGATTTGTCATCCACTTCATTTCTTGACTCTTCATCCTCTCCACACTGTTTGTTTGGTTCTGTCATTTTTTCTACACAGTCCAATATAAAATTTTTGAATTTGTATTTTCTCTTGTATTTTTCGTTTGTTGTGTGAAACTATTCAACGCTGCCATTTGCAACAAGAAAAACACCAGTTTCTTTGTCCACTTTACAGTTTTGCGTGAACAAGGATAATAATGCAGCAATTGATCGGCCCTGTCAACCCCTCTCTTATATTTATTGTAGTCCCCAATTACCTCGGGTCTGCATATTCTTTCTCCTTTGCGATTCTTTTTTGCAGATTCCACGATTTTTGCTGTGTGAAGAGTGGAAATAAGTTTGACGTCTCTTTTATCTCTCCACACCTGTATGAGAACCTGCCCGTTCCTAGAAAACGCAGATTTCCCTTTTTTCAAAATTTTTACGTCATCCTTTAGTTCTTTAGGAGCTCCTCTGTCCATTCTGAAGGTACCACACACATAGGTATTTCTCTGTAATAACATCTCACACAATTCTACACTATTGTAATAGTTATCCTGGTAGAGATGATACCCTTTATCTAGAAACTGTGGCCCAAACAGATCAACAACTAATTCCTTTATAGGTCTTGATTTTCCGCAATAAATTTAAAAATTCCAAATATATCCACTTGTCGATTCACAAACAAGATAAGCCTTTATACCGTACTTATCAGGTTTGTCAGGCATATATCCTTGGAAGATAAGACATCCTTGCCAAGCGATCATTCCCTCATCTATTGCAATTTCCTTTTCAGGGTTATATATGTTTCTAAATTTCCCCACTAATGAGTCTATAATTGGCCTAACTTTATGCAGGCGATCTTCACAGTCAGCTGGTTGTGCATCGTTGTCTGCAAAATGAAATTTTGAGATCTGTTGGAACCACCGCAAAGACATCTTTTGTCCATACCATGGAGTGTGAAATAGGGGCCTAGTGGACCAGTATTCTTCAATTTCTGGGCGTTTGTCGATTCCTGTCATGAACACAATTCCTACGTATGTCCACATTTCATCTGGTGTGACATATTTGTAATTGTGTTCTCGAGAGTGAGGAGCTAACTCGTGTGTTGAAGTGCTGGTAAGCATAGCGATTGGTTTCAGTTGTGATGTGATTTACTAAGTCGTCATCCAGAAAAATTTTAATCAATGAAAAGGGGTGCATTTTATGTGTTATATCAGTTTTGATCCCAGAACTACTAGTAAATGGAACTACTGTTGGTACAGTGTCTCCGTACATCCACGAGATGGATGTGTCAGGCACCGCACTCGTGGTGGCTAAATGTTCATGATTACTGTCTTGTGGATCATTGTCTATCACTGTATTATTGTCACTATCAACTTCATCTGATTCAGGAATCATTATTTCATCACCACTTTCATCATCAGCACAAATCTCGTTCACAACACTTTCCAGCTGGTCTGTAGGAACACTCAGACACTTGCTGCGAGAAGCCATGGTGAAACTGAATGAATGTGAAATATTTTCTGACATTTTCCTACTCGGAGGGTTCTGACAGTNAACTATTTTCTGACCTTTTCCTTCTCGGAGGGTTCTGACAGCAATATAGACACCCACACAGTCAACAAGGGTTCTTTACAACCATGCACAAAAACTGTCATAATTATGTCTGGTTGATGAGTGCCAAGACAGCAAAGAAGGGAAGAGTGTATCAAAGTGCTAAAACATGTCAATGCCAGGCAATGGCTGGCATCGTCCAGGCGCAAAAATGTGCCTGTGCCAGTCAGAGAGTTAAAAAATTAACTACAGAAGCCATGATAACAGAAACACAACAGTTTTCTTGATTATACGTGGTGCAATCCAAAAGTTCCCAAAATATATTAATAAAAACTATTACATCTTACCCAGATCTTATTCTGTACCATCACCTTCAAAGTAGTCCACTTGGGAGCGCATACACCGATACCAGCGTTTCTGCCACTTTTCAAATGCATCCTGGAAGTCTTTCTTTGTTAGGGTGTTTAGTACCGTCTGCGTTTCCGCTTGAATTTCCTCAACTGTATCAAAGCTTCGCCCCTTCAACTTGATTTTCATCTTGGGGAAGAGCTAAGTCTGGCGAGTACGGTGGGTGGGGAACAACTGTCATCTTGTTTTTAGCCAAAAATTCCTGCACAATGTAAGCCTTATGTGGTTGTGCGTTGTCATGGTGGAGTACCCAGTTGTTCGTGCACCACTTCTCTGGACGTTTTCTCCTCATGTCCTCCCTCAAACGCCTTAGAACATCGCGATAGAACTCTTTATTGACTGTCTGATCAGGAGGGACGAACTCCTTATGAACAATCCCGTCAATATCAAAAAACAGATCAACATGGACTTAATGTTGCTCTTGACTTGTCGAGCTTTTTTTGGCTGAGGTGAAGAAGGGCTCTTCCATTGCGACGATTGCTGCTTGCTTTCAGGGTCGTAGCCATAAACCCAACTTTTGTCACCAGTGACAACCTTCGAAAGAAAGTTTGGATCCTCTTGAAGCTGTTGCTGAAGTTCCCTGCAGACTTCCAAGCGATGCTGCTTCTGTTCATTTTGCAGCAGTCGTGGCACAAACTTCGCCGCAATCCTCCTCATGTTCAGTTCCTCTGACAAAATTCGTTGACATGTACCATAACTTATTCCCAAGGTGTTGCAGAGGTCTTGGATGGTCAGTCTACGATCTTGCAGAATCAGATCCCTAACTCTCGCGACATTTTGTGGTGTGGTGCCAGTTGACAGCCATCCCAAACGATCGTCGTCATCAGTCAATGTTTGGCCATTTTTAAAACGCTTATACCAGTTGTAAGTTTGTGTCTGGCCTAAACTGTTTTCACCAAAAGCTTGCTTCAACATTTGGTGCGTTTCTGCAGCGGTTTTCCCAAGTTTGAAACAAAACTTTATACAGACACGCTGCTCTCTCAGGTCAGCCATCGCAAAACCGTAAACTCACGGAAACACAACAATGGAAATACGTTCACCAACAATAAACCCAACCACTCAACTCGACGCCGCTTGCCACACTGATTCAAGAAGGATGTGTGAGGAGACAACTAGCGGTATTTCGATGTACTCATAACCATTCGGGTGCAAAATTCAAATTTCGGAAACTTTTGGATTGCCCCACATAATTTTAAACACTTGATGATGATCATATCGGTTGAACCATATAGTGAAAAACTTTTAAAAATTTATATAAGTTATATGGTGTGCAAAACTTTTAAATTGAATAACTTGTTTTGTAGAAAGATGTGTTGCATGAGAGACGCTGGAACCAGTGATTTTTGATGCTAAATGATGTGCAGCAGGATGCTACAATATTATAATATGCGAAGAGGAATGCTTATAGGATATGCACATTGGTGTAGTTGGCAGACCAATAACCTATGCATATTGGTATTGCCCCAGTAAATTTTGTAACAGTTACTGTGAAGTGAGCCATGGGCCAGTTGGTTGTAATGCCAAGCTCCTGCTACTGTATTAAACATTAATCAGTCAACAGTATATCTTCTGTTGATTGGCATGTGAAAGTTATGCATTAGAATGGTCATTCCAAGTATTCATGTGAGAAGTAAAAAATTCCAGCAAAATTTCAAGATTATAAAAGGTTAATTAACTCCATCTAGTGTGACTGATAATTTTTTTTTCTTTTTTCCCTTTTTAATCTTTCATCCTTGACATGTTTTGGTCTTAAGAGACCATCTTCAGAAGGATATATCAATACAGGCAGAAACTATAAATTATTACAATTAGTCTATTTACAGGTGTGTTTAAAAAATATTTTGTTATAATTTTTTAGAACCATTTTGGTTCATGTCATTTATATTGCCTCTCTTTGAAGGAAGTTGAGTGTGAATTTATAAATATATTAATGTATTCATGCACATCACTGTAATTGTTAAAGGATCAGATTTCATATTCATGTCAATTTGATGATATTGTATGTATATGTATTGATATTGACCAAACACATTGTAATAGTAGTTTTTGCCTGTATTGATATATCCTTCTGAAGATGGTCTCTCAGACTGAAAAATGTCAAGGAAGGAAAGAAAAAAACATTTTATCAGTCAGACTGGACAGAATTGATTAACCTTTTATAATGTTGCTAGTGTGATGGACCAGGATGAACCAAATAAAAAATAATTTCAAGATGTTACTACTTAAATAGAAAGAACTGATGCAGAAATACTCCTTATACTTTCTCATATATGAGTGACCTTGACTGTGTTATCTTGGAAACATAATTGATTGTTACTGAGTAGACTGTTGTTGGTTGCTTTATACAAAGCAGCAATGAAGTTTTTGGACCAGTATAACTGGTTTCCAAAACATTGATATTTCACAATTGGTCCCCTACTGTACATACCAATATATTCCTGAAGATGCTACCTATGCAGTTTCTTTTAGTGATATGGTCACCATGAATCATGTTGACAGAACATACAGTTCACACACACTAGAATGCTAAGATACAGTAGAAGTAATGATTTTCATAAATTACTGAAACTTAATCAAAATCTGAGCCATATTAGAAAAAATCGCTGTTTTATACTTTGTGGCCCTTCTGAAGGGCCCCTGTTTTTGGAGCTGGGATATTTAGAGTAACTGGACAGTAGCTAGGCGCATGTCAATACATACACACAGACAGATGGCATTCCAAAACCACTTATACTTTTTTTTTGGGGGGGGGCTGAAAAGCATGTAAATTCCTCTGAATCTTGATACTGAATTTTCTTGACATGTCAGCATATGTACAATATACAGTATATGAGAAAGAGAAAACTATTTGTACAGTCATAAATACATTTAGACAGGATCGTTGCTGGATGAAATTGGTGATAGACTGGAACATTTTGATCATAAATCCTTAAACACCTTGCATATGAGACTGGGGTTTGAAGTTTCAAGTTTAAGGTTTGCTCTGTTTCCAAAATGGAACTTCAGTGCATGAATGTGAACACTTTATACAGGTACAGGGAGTGTGTTTTTGTAACAGCAGGGACAATTTCTGGCATCTGCTGTGGTATGGGTAGGTTTTGTTGGTGATGTGTGGCCTGTCAGATTGTCAGTTCACTGTAGCCCTGAACATACAAGATCACTGTTGATGTGAAGAGCCTGTCTCTCTCTTCCACCTGACTGACCAAATGATTGGCTTCAGATTCTCAAGTAACCTTTCTGTACATGGACTCTTGTACATATGGATTATCAAATTCTCCTTCATATGTATTCTAGTGAATATTAACAAGATTATAATTGTTTCAGGCAAGATTTAAAGGCCTTAATAAGACACTTTGTGCACTTAATACATTTTATATATTGTTTTCAAGATGAATGCCAAACACTAAACAGAATTGATGTTTTGAGAGATACATGCAGAGAGCATGCATCTCCAAAATGTTTGCAGTGCTCCTGATACCCATATGGTGTAAATATCCAAGAGTACTAAATGGAACTGTAGGAATATATGAAATGTGCTTCTTTGATATATTTATGTTATATCCACCTGTCTTACTGATTTGCAGTCTTCCATCAGCAGTGCCATTTTGAGAAAGTTCACAAGGTAGATAAAATATCTGTAGCTATCTTATGTTATCATTGTGCTTTCTGACATGTGCTCTAGCAAACTGCATCTTCCTTGTATCCTACGAAATGCATTAACCTTTCATTGATCTCTTGTAATATCATACATTATATTTGTACCTTTTCAACTCATTTCATCGTGAGTGATGTTTTGTGAATGTAAATTTCAAGGTTACTTTCTTTGTGCCTTTTCCAGTGTTGCGTCTGGGTAGGTTCCTGGACATGTTGTATGGTGCATTTTCATCAATTCACTATCCAGATGTGACTGTGCGGATAACATGTACTTTATCTAAGATAGCCAATGCGCTTTTCCTTTTGGCAGACCATATTCTATGGATTGGTCGAATTGGGTTGATAAATGTTAATAGTGAGAAGTGGGTTAAAGTAGCCAACAAATACTGGCTATGCTCAATCACAATGAATCTGGTTCGTGATGTGTATGAAATATGGTGCATCCTTGAACGAGAAGGCCGTCGATTGGGCATTCCACCAGGCGAGAGTCTACATCGTACATGTTTGGCAGATGGGTTTTCTCATAAGACAGTACCACTCAATTTGCGAGCAGTTACATTTGTCGAAGAACATAAGGATGTGGTTGTTGACACAGTAAAGAATGGCTGTGATGTGATGATTCCATTGACTGCATTAGGCTATATGCGACTTAGCCCTGGGGCTGTTGGCCTCCTTGGTGTTGTGTCATCAGTGGCAGCTATAATCAGCCTTATTGATCCTCTGGCCCGCCTGACACCAGCTTAGATACAAGCTTCAAAATGTACCATTTATTGGCCAGATAGAAGGGAATCCTGCTCAGATTGCAGATTCAACAGAAATAAAAGTCCATATGATCTTAAGAAATATGGTGTAACACTATATACACTTGTAAACTATAAAGAAATGGAAGATATATTTTGGGTGCTGCATTGGGTCTGTATTTAACTTCATCTGTAATGACACACTGAAATAGAAGATAAGGAAACAAGGTCAGATGTTTGTGATAACATTCTGCATCCTGTGAAGATTAATGCTAGCCCAGTTCTTTGTTAAATAAAATTAAAAAAATGAAATATTTAAAGGAACTGTGAGACTATTTGAATTGCAGAAGTGATTCTGTTTTTGTTTCAGTGACATATTGATTGAAATGTCATTGTGATGTAGAAGAGTTCGTTCAGTAATATCCAGTTAATTTCTTTAGATAAGCCAATAGTTACACACATTAATAATACTCTGTATAATTCACTGATATGTTTTGTTTGTAATTTTGCCTGTATTTCAGTTAGAGATCTGAAATGAACTACATAATTTTAAAAGGATCATTGAATCTTAGCCATTAAAGTATGTTTGTATGTTTGTACTGATCGTTAGTAAAATGTGAAATTCCATTTGGAAGTTAGGTTATCAACAATTTATGAATGTTTTATATTGATAAACAACAAAGTTTGTATGGTTACTTAAGTTTTATAAAAGATATTTTATATAATTTTGACATACTCATATGTCAGTTCATCCATTATAATTGACAAAATAGTACCAGAATGCTTGTCTCAAATTTCTTTCCTTCCTGGACACTTTGTGTATTATTATATGATATATAGTTGTTTATGTTTGTTTTGCAATACAGCAGTTCTGTTATATGAAAGAGGGCTTGGTGTTGTAATTATTGTTATGTTGTTTTGGAAATATATGTGTTATATTGTTATTTTTTATCTGGTGTGTGAAAAGCTTGTTTTTCATAATTGATGCTGTCTAACTGGTGGAGCAGTCCATGTTGGTATCTCTGTCCTTTGTTTCTACAAATCTACCATGTGAATGTGTTAGCCTTCACTCTAAAACATACTGAACATCATGGTTCAGTAGTAGTTTGCACCTCTTCATATTTGGAAGGTTTCATGTTGTATTTCTGACACACATAGCAGCTGTTCTGGCTGAGGTTTTTAGTGACTTTTCTTAGTCCCACCAAAGTAAAGAAAGAGGGCTTGGTGTTGTAAGTATTGTCATGCTGTTTTGCAGATATATGTGTTATACTATTATTTTTTATCTGGTGTGTGAAAAGCTTGTTTTTCATAATGGATGCTGTCTAACTGGTGGGGCAGTCCATATTGGTATCTTTTTCCTTTGTCCTTGACGCATGCTTTGTTTTAAGGGCCTACTTTTCATGTGTGCTGGTGTGATTATTCATACAATAACTGATTCTCAAGACATTCATTTGTCATTTCAGATACCCTTTACTTTGTTTGTTTAGGTGTTTCTAGTTTTTCCATGTGGGACGCCTTTCATCGATGGATTTTACTCTAAGGACCTTATTCTGGAGATGGTTTCTTTCAGTTATGTTAATTTGGTCAGGTTTTTCTTTTCTTTGCCTTGTTATTCCTTTTGTCTGCTTTATTATGTTCTTTTCCAGGGATTTTAACTTTCTTCTTTTGGTTCAATGGTCATCCCTGTTTTTGGAGGTAAAATGTTAAGATGGGTTATTTTCCATACTTTTTGTATGGGTTGTCTCCCCTTTTACTTCTCGTCATTTTTGTTAGCTTGTTGGAGGAGTTGATTTGAGTACAAGCTGTCTAGGATTAATTTAGGGGTATTTAGTTTCTTTGCTTTTCTGCAGGACCTCCATTTTTTCTGGTTCAGTGTGGTTTATATCTTACATTTCTACTTATGAGGTATCTTTGCTCCTACTGTTGTTTGGTTACACGTCTCTTAAGCATTTTGGATCTGGGCTGGGTGGACAGGGTATTCATCAATTCTTTATGCATACGAGTAGGGTGAATCAGTAGTGACAGTACAATAATCTTATGGTGTTCCTCATATTTTTTGTCATACAAATTGTTTTAATGTTTATGCTTGTTTACTTCAATAGTTTATACTTACAGCATGACACTGAAGATGTCATTGAAGTTGTTTTATCTGTCTTTACAGTGAAAGTGTAATATTTTTGTTAAACCACATAAACAGAAATGTAAGCTGACTTTAACAACTAAAATGATAAGTTAGCAACTATCATTTGATCAACATATTTTTTTTTCAGACATAATTTCTTACATTCAGTTTTGAATGCAAAGCTGACTACCTTGCTCTGTAAAAAAAATTACTATTGTGAAATCCAAAGAAGTGAAAACCAGATGGTCTAATTCACGATGGAATAGAAAAATCTGGCAGAATCTTCTAAGGATTGCTATGGCCCAAATGGACTGTTTTGCCAGTGGTGGTGGTGATGACAGAGTATTATTAAAGTAAACTGTACCAGCTGATGGTCAAATTTTTTGAGCTACACACATCCAACATTTAAGGCAGCCAAAAGATCTGCCAGCCACTGAGAATGGAATGTTTATTTTAACTGTAATTTGGCAGTCCCTTAGAGGGATAACATCTACAGTGCCCTTGTCAGCAGCAAAAGGCGTGAGGATCATGCTTATTGTTCCTCTGTAGTGTGTGCTTTCAGCTTTGATGAATTGAGCACATGTAAACACTTGTATTACTTTGAAAGCCTTCACACATCTGTCTGAATTGATATATCTAAATTTGGGGCAGGCAGTATTAAAAAGCATAAATTACACCATTATTTATTTATATTAATATTTAAATATAAATTTATGGCTAAACTATGGTACTTTTCTCCCCTTCAGAAATCTTGCCTAGAAGTAGGGGTCCATAAATTACACAAGCCAAACTGGTGGTATATAATGCATAAGGAGAATGAGGGAATGTCCCCACACATTCTCAGAACTTGGGAAGAGATGAAATTACTTTGTAGAAACTGGACATGAGGCTTGGTGGATCTAGAATCTTTCTGTGTGAAGTGTTGACGAGAACAGGAATGGGTAAAGTATATTCTTATAGGTGGCATTTCAAAATTAATTTAGGTCCTTACATAAAGTGGTTCTTAAAATGGACCACATTAAACCAAATCAAAATAGCTTGAAAAATTCAGTACCTCTATAATATTCAGTTTCATCAAATTCGTCCAGTATTTCAGCTGTTTCTGGTGGACATTTATGAAAGTAATAACGTTTTAAAAATGAAATCAAACCAGTATGGAACATTAGGCAATTCCCAGGCTAATTGAAAACATATTCTCTGAAGCACTGGCAACAGGAGAAAATTGTTTACCATATACTGTAATTTAAGCCAGGGACGAGATATGTCAAGACATGAAGCATGCAAAGGTGTAATCAAGGAATATATACAACATTTTGGTAGTTAAACTTCAGGGAGAAGATAACACTTGGGCAACCTAGATATGGATGTGAGGATAATATTAAGAAGTATCTTAAAACATGGTGCAAGAGTATGGGCTGGATTACACTTGATCAGGATAGGATCCAGTGGCAATGTATTTCATAATCAGCTCAGTTTACATTTAAATTATTTACTTTCATATTCCTTATTCAATCTTCTAAGTATACAATATTATCAATTTATCTTCAGAAGTAATGGTCTTCTTTCAACACCACTATGGAAATAAGATTACAGATGGCAAAACTTGTGATATACATGGAGGGTCTTAATTACATACCTTAAATATAAACATCGTTTTCTACAATTCTATGCAAGCAGAAATGGTCATACAAATATATGGTTACAACCACTTCAGTAGTGAGATACGGCAACAGAAAGCATGAGGAAAGAAAAGTAGCCAAAGTATGTGTAGTTGTAGATAAGAACTCTGCCCTGCTGTGCCAAAGTTCCTCGTCCACTGAAAGATGTCAGACATGTTGTGTATTTCATCCCAGCGGCTTGAATGGTATTCCACAGCTTGTCCGGTGTGTTATGCTGTTGGGCATAAATGATGATCTTCAGATGGTGGCATGAGTGAGATGGGGTGATAGTGAAGGCCAGACAGCTGGTGCATTTCATCCAATCCACTGACCTGGGTAGTGACTGTCTAAATGCTGTATGACATCACAAGAATGCACAGGAACCTGACCATACAGTACTCACAGTCTGCCACATTGCCACGGCAATGGTATATTGTCCAACAGCTGTGATAAGGGTTCAGATAGAAACTGTATATAGGGGGCAACTGATAATCAACAGTAGTAGCTTATAAGAACCTCAAAGATAGCCAATTATTCCCACCCAAACATTTACTGGAATCATGTTTCATGAAAGGAATGCAATGTTGCGATATCCTGGTTACGAAGTGATTGCAGACATTTCTGTTTGCCTCTAAGTATAGAACATGATGCTTATGTTTAAGGTATGTAATTAGGACTTACCCTGTATATCCTGATTTGAAGATTCGTGACAGGCTGGGGTATGGTGAATGTGAATGAAATGGAATTTTGAAAATCCTTTGTGTCCTCAACAGCCACAGGTGGCTGTACAGTCAACTATTATCTTGCAAGCCCTTGTTTTAGTAGGTACTCTTGGTCCCGTATCCACAGCTGCTCACATATAATGTTAAGCAACGGAGCAACTTCGTGCACCTCACTGTCACAGTTACTTCTGCTTCCTGACCATGTGTTATCAATCTTGAGCACAGGAACTTGCCACTTAAGTTCAAACTCCTTAATATCTGCAGTGGAAACTTCAAGTATGTTCCCTGGGTTATATCTATAAAAAAAATAAAAAAAACCAGTAAAGGTTCCACTGTGCCCAAGCACCATGCCATAGAGATGTATAGGGGATGTGTATGTTTTCTGTGGCTTATTTTACAGTGATGTCAGTATTTAAAATACACAGTGTCAAATGGTAGGATAATTGGTGAATAGTGAATTGGAAAAGACTGGAAGCAAGCAGTCGAGGCCAAATTGAGGACTATTCCGGAATTTGTCTGGGGGACTGGTGGAGAAAAAAAAAAAAAAGACAGGATAGTTTGGTTCCCAGTTGAGACTTGAACAGAGGAGCTCCTGTGAGTATTACCACACCACCACCCTGCTTGGTGAGGATCTGGAAGAAAGCTCTATGCATTTATGCCTCTGCGCTGGATCAGGTGAGAGGTGAGCTTCACATACTGGCTACATCATTCAGAGAAAAAATAAAAACAATAAGTTTTAAGAGAAATTTGTCCCTTTGTGACCTACTTAGTAGTTACTCCTGGAGTAAAATGCCATTCCAGAATTCTCAATAAAACAGATGACGTAATACATTAAACCATTACAAATGATCAAGTCTGTTATGTTACTTGAAGGGCAAGCCAAAAGTTCATCCATCATATTCATAATAAGTGTCCTTTGCTGTTCGAAATCATCTTTCCTTCAGGGTAATTTTTGTTGTAGGGAACAGAAAAGGGTCTGGATTGGTTAGATCAGGTGAAGATGGAGGCTGTGGAAGGACAGGAGTCAAATGCTTTGCCAAGAACGCTCGAATCAACAACACTGTGTGAGCTCCTGCACTGTTGTGATGGAGGTACCATATTCTCGATCCTTCTCCATACTGCACCCATCACACACCTCAGACCTTCCAGATAATAAGCTTCATTAACTCCCTGGCCTGTTGGAATGAACTCATGATGAACTATGTGGGAATCAATAAAAAAAAATAAACATTTGTTTTCATTTTTGCATGCACTTGTGGTGGGATTTTTGGGGGTTATGTGTATCAGGACTCTTCCACAGCAGTGATTGTTGTCTTGTTCCATCATACCCATAAACCCAAATCTCATCTCTGGTGATATTTTACAAAAACTTCATCATTTGCTCAATGCAGGCAATCTTTGAGTACTGGAATGTGCTGAATTCTCTGATCGTCAGTCAAGAGCTTTGGCACAAATTTTGCCGAGAATCAGGGTATCCCTACATCATCTGTTAAAATTGCATGATATGAGTGAATGGACATTACAGTCTCTTCTTCTGCTTCCTGTACAGTAAGTCAGTGACATGCATGAGTAATATCTTATGCTCAAGCAATCAAACAATTGTTTTGCAAAGCTGAAGATCAGCCCATCATCATCATCTGCTAAAGTTCTTCCACTTTTGATACATTTGTGCCATTTACAGGTTGTCTTTCTACTCAAAGCCACATTGCTGTAAGCTTCACACAATATTCTGTGGGTCTCTAAATCTGTTTCTCCAATCTGACACATTTTGTAAGCTCTGCTTCTTTACGGATGTCATATCACAACATGACAAAACCACACAATCATGCAAATTGTTATAACACTACTAAACTTCACCTGAGCTGTTTGGAATGAAGTGGTATGTACAGGTTATGGTCAGAGTTATCAGTTGTTTCATGCATATGAATGGTGGTGCTCCAGTCATTCTGGGAACTTTATGAATTTATCTGAGTGTATCAGCTTTCATGTTATAATGTTGAGGAGTCAGAGCAAAACTGTAGGAACTATGTGCCAGTCAAACATCTTTTGTTTTATTGGGTTGTACAGAGTATTTGATAACATAAAAAATGAACAAATAATAATCTATATCCATATGCTGAAATTTGATATATATATATGAATTAGGTTAACTGTCAACACAACAAATATACTCACTTTTAATGTTTTACAATTCAACTTTTTATTTCACGATATGTATCATTATATGGTCATAAAATATGGTGTATGCATTTTGTATGGGCATATATATGTTTGGTGTTTTCTACCTGTGCATTGGTTTGATGTAGTTGATATACACCATATTTTATGTTCCTATAATGATACATATCGTGAAATATGCACACCTAGTATACCACACGTTTACAACCCTTACATCATACTCATTCTTGCAGATAGAAACTTGTCTCTGGGCTCCATGACCAGGCTTACTACATAGACAGCTTCTACAACAAAGACCTACAAATGACATAACATTCCTAATTCTACAGTGTAGCATTGGAATCTTAGTATTAAGTTGGTATACATATTTCTTAACCTCCCATGCTAAATAGTTTTAATTATATTTTTTTAATATTTTTTATTATTTCCATAATATATTAAACACTTTATAAACTAGAGGCAAATTTTATCTGTTAGTATATAATATGACACGTACTGGTGTGGATCCGTATCAGTAGTTCACCTATATATAACTGCCTGATGATGGTCTTGCACGACCGAAACATGTAGCAGGAATAAAAAGTCGATTTGTAAAACACTAAAAGAAAGTATATTTGTTGTGTTGACGGTTAACCAAATTCTTATATATATATATATATCTGGAACACAACAGGATGAAACCAATGAAGATAGCTGAAATTTGATTTTAGAATAATGTATACTTTTCTTGGACAATACAAGTACTATAATCCTATAGATGATGAACATTACATATTGGAAAGTGGTACATAATATACAGTTCAAATTAAATTTATATTACATCTTACCTTGTTCCAATAACAATGTTAGTTGGATTTTCTCCCATCTGTGACATCCTGCTCATGTGCTGGGGTAATTCTGCAAAGCTATTATTGTCCAAGAAGGAGAAGACATATATGATGGCATCAACTTTATCTTTGCAAGCCTAGGATAAAAAATATACAGATGTTAAAACCAGTGATGTGTTACGGGATGTAGAATTATGCCATTTGGTTCAGAGAAAGTGTTGGAAGGTCCTACTTCTATCTCCTGTTTCTTGCTTTTGCTTTTTACAAGAATACTGAAACTGAATTCCTCTGAAAGAATAAGAAGTTATGCATCTGTAAGGCTTATTACAATTTAATTTAGTGGAAAATATTTTTGTTAAAGGTTTAAGAGAAATAGGTTACAGTGGATTGAACTGGCTCAGAGCAGAGTCCAGTAGTAGGCTTTACTTTCACAGAAGTGAATTTATTAAACAGCTGTGTAACTATCAATTGCATAAAGAAATCCTATACAATGGAGTTACATTGAAATCCAGTTTAAGTTTCTGGATTTAGAATTTTCTCTCATTTCAAATTTCATGCATGCGCACACACGCACACTCTCTCTGTCTCTGTATACTTTAAATCATAATTTCAGCAAATGTGTATGCTATCAGCAAAGGTTGAGGCTGCATTGCTGCCTGATCCTGTGACTATTTCCACAGCTTTCTGTTCGGGACATTTTCTGGACATCCCCGTTAGCCTTAAGCTTTTTCTCATGGGTATGAAACACTGCTTCTCACTGAGATAGAAGTAAATGTTATCAGTGTCCAAAAACAAAGTGCTCAGAAGAATATTTGGTTCTAGGTGGCCCAAAGGAAGTAAGGAAATTGTATTACATAATGAGGAAATTTATGACATAGAAGTCACAAAAGCTGTTTCTGTAGTGATGTCAAGGAGGTTATTATGGGCTGAACATGTGGCTTGGATGGAAAAACAATAAATACACACACATTTTTCGGGTAACCTGTTGGAGCAGCCGTTTGGAAGACTGAGGAGATCATCAGAGATTAAGATGTATCATAAAAAAATCACCATAGGAATGGGAGATGGATGAAACTGGTTCACAATCATATCCAGTGACAGACTTTGGATGTTAGTGTAGTTTCTAAGCTACAAGTAACTTCTGTGACTGCTGACAGTTCAAACAATAAGGTTAAACTAGGTTATGACATGCATTATGATTCTTTCCCCTTGATGTCCCAAAGGCGTTTGCTGAATTATAATTATAAAAGCTGTAACGATGGATTTCTTATAAGGTTTTGTTAATCTTTGATTAATTTAACCTTTAACATCCAAAGTGTCCTGATCAGTCCAGTGGTGAGTATGGTCGTCATGGCCAAAGTACCCCAATTTGGGCAGTCAGGCATTTAGCCTCCACTAGTAGAAGCATATGCACAATCCTAAATATTTATTGTTAAATATAGCAGAATTAAATATATAAATTTTTGTTGTTATCTGCTTGATGTATATACAGGTTTCAACCCCTGCGTCATATAACTGAATCTCGCATTTGTGTAGTACTCCTTGAAGCACCTGAGAGAGCACAGTCCCACACATCTTGCACTGCCTTTCAGTTTCATAATCTTCCAAACAAGGTTTCATTACCATTGTATGATAAAAGGAAACTACAATATTCAAATTCACTATGACCTCACAGAAAACTGAATGCACTCTGTATCCCAGCTGTGATACAAACGTTTGTTTACAACCATGCAAAGGGCAATATTATCTAGTAGCTGCAATGGCAGGGCCTCGCACTGAATTAGGAAACAACACATATACCCTGTAGCCTTTCTAGAAAGGCAATGTTTTCACTTTTCTGTCCTTTAGTCAACAGACTGGGATATCTGAAGGGTGTTACAAAGACTTGAAATTTGCCAACAGAGAACCAAATGATTTTATTGCTTCCAGCTGGTTTATGGCACCAGGGAATGCAAAAATATTTCAAGTGTTACAAGCAGGAGTGATTTCATAATGCACGACTACTATGTGAAGAAGTGGGAAACTATTTTTACTGTATGAATCATAATTACAAGAAAGAAAGAAAGAAAAAAAGTAGTTTATAACTTCTTGTCTACATGTTTTCAAATCTTACATTATAATATGTGACACTGTGTTCTTTGCTGATAAAAACAAAGTTAATGCATTCATTTATCATAAAAATTGTATGAGATACAGCATTTTCAAATACAGTGCAAGTACCCTGACAGGAACGGGCATTTAAATAAACTCTGGCCAGCTCAAGCTATCACTATTTCAAAAGGCTGGTGTTTAAAGGTTAACAGAGCACTGTTTTCTTGAAAGTTTAGCACCTATGAGAGAGAGAGGGGAGGAGTGAGTGTATTAAAACCTTCTGAAAGCAACAATGTGAATGAGACAGAGGAAACTTCTGCAAACACAAAACCCCCTAACAACATACCGGCAGAATATGGCTGTATTTCTTGATGCTATTATCACCAGCATCCCAGAATTGTAGTTTAAATAATATTATTTTGTCCCAGATCTTAACAGGCCAATATATATTACTTTTTCGTATGCCTGCTGTCTCTACATATGTGCTAGGACATTTGATACCATACAAACGTGCTACTGTAGCTGTTTTTCCAACACCAGATCTTCCAGTAATATGCAGCTTGTAAGATACTTCTTCAATGCTAGAAGGTAGACTAGGTCTATCTAATATACCTGAAAAAAGAATATTATTTCAGAAGAAGTAAAGATTATGTCAACAGATAATGACTTATATTGGTCCAAGATTCTCAAATCATTATCTGTTTATCTTGGTTCAAGTTCTTGTAAAGAGTGACATGTCAATGATGTAACACATGGCATGAAAAATTTTAAAACAAGTACTGAAAGCATGTGGTTCATTTTATGGTTTCAAAGAATTAAACTGGATAGGTACCACTGGTACTAACATCAAAATATGGCTATGAAGTTCAAACATGCTTGAGTCAAGTGAAGTAATGTGAAGTGTCCTTGTTTGAGTACAGTGAAACGAGCAGAAGCACATGCCCTTTTACAACTTTATATGTTTGGATTTGCACTGTGTACCATGTTTTTTTGTATGTATTTTGTTTTGTATTGTTCCCTTGTGTTATAGACTTTCCTTGTCTGTATCACTGTCAGTTCTACTGCCACCTGGTGAACACCCAATTGCAGTATTACAATAATAATAATGTAATAATGTGCAAAAGAAAACTTCTAGCAGATGTATCTATAATGCAATTAACTAACTCTATGCAGCCAGCTTTCTTGAGAAGCAAGCAGTTGTTCATCTAGCCATGAAATTTCCTTTTATGGAAGCTGGAGGTTTATTACTGTGTTCACAAAAGCCTGCCACTGGGCTGTCATGAGCCAAATGAATTAATTCCAGATCCTCCTGCCATATTTCTTTACAATACATTTTATTATTGTCCCCCCACTATCTATGGCTAGTTCTTCTAAGTGCTCCCTTTCCTTCAAATTTATAGGATATCACCATACAAAGGTATATTACAATCATTCATTAATTACTGTCACCATACTAACACATTCTCAGCACCTGCCATTTTCCATGACCTCATGAACAAAGTAAGTTTTCAAGGATCTATCATCATAAAAACTTCAGAACCTTACACCGAATGACACTGAGTTTCCTGTTTCACAAATTTACATGACTGCTGTACTGGTATTCCTTATGGCAAGAAGTTAAAAAGCATATTCTGAGAGGCCTGTAATACTACGAGTTTCATACATAGTAATGCACAGAAATAAACTGGTCTCTTATCATCTGTTGTGATGGTTCATTAAAGAGTTGTATCTGTAACACTGACATGTGCAGCTGAATCAGCTTTAGAGACATGACTTAAGAGGGTTCTGAAGAGAGAATATGTTTCATAGGAACAATATAAAGAACTCGAAGCACCGATATTCTGATCATTCAAGAGGAACAGTAGATTTCTGTAAACCAAAAGTGGAGATGTATCAAGTACAATTTCTTCTGTTCACATGAAACAGAAACTAAATTTTAAAATCCACTTATTTTGTAAAGGACATCTCTCAACATATCTTTTTTATACAAGAGGAATTCATGCACCATGATGTTTTGTTTGTATGTAAGCTTTGAAATAACATCTCAATACATAAAATGGTTTCTAAAAAATTAGGAATTTTTAAGAGTCTTGTGCTAGTATGCAGAAGTGTAAGTATGTCTTTTTGAGTACTTACAGAATGATTTGACACGACACTTTCAGTTCAGAATCTTTCCTTGTCCTGTCTTGTATCCAGAAATGTAAAGATTAAAATATTCAAAAACTATAATTTATCTCTCACACCACAGGACAAACACTCTTTGGGTATTGTGTATCCTGACAACTGGGTGGGGACAATATTTTGACACAAGGGAGATGAAGTAACAGGAGGTTCAACAAATTGGCATGACAGGAGCTTCATTAGGGAGGATGACATGAACACTCTTCTTCACTTTAACGTAGTCTCATGTTGGGCACCACTTGTGACAGTGTTTCTTCACATCCTCTGCTCCGTCATAGTTGTTGAGTGCTACATGGCCTTAGAACCACTTCAAAGTACCGGGAGTGATGTGAGGGTAGGAAAAGGGAACAATGTTCAGGGTGTGAGCACGAGATTCTCTTCCGGGCTTAACAGGCCTTGCTTCAACGAGAGGTTCTTCCCAAAGAAGTCCCTGGAGCACACTCTACTCATGAAGATAACTGACTTGGTTTATTTTCACCAACACTACACAATATTACACAGATTTATTATACAATACAATGCACTACACCACTCTGCAATGCAACACAATATAATATTATCTACTCTTCTCTCTCTCTCTGTCACACCATCCAAAATCAGCCTTTATATACTCTTGGATGATGTAATGCTTCCAGAACCTTCCACACTGGGGGGGGGGGAGAGTAACGGATACACATACCAAGGTGGCTAACATAATATTGTCTCAGGCTGCAGTGGTCTTTATCTAAATATTCCTTGTTTGCTAATTCTCAGAATAATTATAGCAAAACTGAATATAAGTCACATTTAGTATACAAATTGTGCTAAGTCCTAAAGTGTTAATAAAATTAAAATTTATATTATAGTTGGTAATATTTAAGAATGATACTGGTAGGTAATGATCGGTTACAATGAGAAATGAACACAAAATTTTGTTCAGAAAATCCTAAGTGAAATCACTTTGGAGATCTTGGCATCAATGGGAGGATAATACTCGAATGAATCTTAAAGAAACTGAATGTCAGCATGTGAACTGAATTCATCTGGCTCAGAATACAATCTTACAAATAACATAATAAACTTAATTTCATGCATCCTGCTGTCGTTGTTTGCTTTCCATGCAATATGGACAATTCTTCTTAATGACGAGGCAGCATTACACAATTCATTAATTGCTACACCATAGGCCTCTCTTAAAATATTCTATATAAAGTAATATCGATTTTCCTTATTGTCTATGGAAACGCACACAAAGTATATCCAACGAGTGATTCAATGTTCTTGAAAACATCATTAATATTTTACTTTTTATAATACTTCAAATTTTTAATTTTTATATAATCTGAACTTTTGTATTTTTTACATAAGCATTTTTAAATTTGTACGATTAATAGTGTTATATCCATTTTATGACTGCAGTTAAATTGTAGATTTTTGTTGATATGTATTTGCCTGATGATGGCCAATTGTGGGCGAAACATGTAGCAAAGCCACAGCTGAACGCTGACTTTGATGTTTTACTATTTGCTGTGATGTGACGGTTCATTAAAGAGTTGTAACATAATAAACCATAAATGACTGGAAATTTCTGGATTAGCCAGGCTTTCTTAGAATGACTCTTTTCCAAAGAAGTTCTGTCTTACTGCCATTTAGAACTCTTTAAAACTTCGCCTTTTAGCGATTTGGCAGGCCTCCCTGGACAAGACTCCGCCTACAGTTATCACAAAAATACCACAGCATTCTTCATTGGCACTTTGTAAAACCAGTTGCTGATACGTGCACTCCACTGTGCATCATGACACTCTGATCAGGGCACAAACTGAACTAAATGAACTGAAACCCAATCACCGTTCATCGATGACTTTTGTCCTGTAATGGAAACACTAAATAATTATGCAACACATCTTCTTTTGCCATTTCTGGTCATATGAAACTTATACCTAAAACTTTCCTCCCTGTTGTTTGAGGATCGTAGAAGTGCTGCAATATTGTTTCACCTTCCGCTGAACTCTGCCAATCTAAAGACACAATGCTACCTACTTTTGTGTTCACAAACATTTTATCAACCATTTCTTAACACCTGGACCATAAAAAAATTTCCTGTACTACATCCATGCCATACCATCTCTTGTGGGATAAGAAAGTCAGCTCTGCTTCCATCTATATTCAATTTCATTACATCTTCAGTATTCCGGTTTCAGTAGTTCAGTCAGGCCACCCACCTTGACCTGCTCGGAGTTCTTTAAACATATCAGTTTCAGTAGTTCAGTCGGGACCGATCAGGGTTCTGAGCGTCCTGAGGGTCAGGACCAGGACAAAAACTTTCTACGGCCCTAAGTTGGGTTTCATGGAGTCTGTAAGTAGTACTATCTGGTTTGAAGAAAATTATTGCAAAATGAAAACTATCTTGCTGTTATCGAAAATACGGACGCTTCTGTAGAGGTTCGCAACAACTTAAGAAATAATGAAATGAATTTCGATAAGAAACTGCGCAGAACGAGGGGGCCTAAGGAACCCAAGGAACACCGCAAGATGCAGATTTGACTAGCGTCTCTTCTGTCACCATGTTGGCGCTACAAGGAGATCGGTAGTGGTTGATGTCGATTAACTATGGATATATTCTGTGGTTATGACGTTATAAGACGTTGGTCATCTGATCACCTAATGAGGGTGGTCCACAGTTAAGTCCTTATGCCTCTGCTGGGCGCACACCAAGAAAACTGGCAACCGTTGTGTGCTGTGTGCTGTCTTCCGGGGAAAATAGCTCTTTGATCTCTTTGATGCAGGTTTTGTAGACCAGAGGCACCGCGTAATCCTTGAAATAAATTGTGCAAACGGGGAAACTTGGATTGTGGCGTTATGTAATCCGTGGTCAACGCGCAGCACAAGAGAGAATGTGCATGCTGGTGTTTACAGTCTTGCTATCTATGTAGGCTAGCTAGTACGGACTTAAACGTCTTAAAGGTCTTAAACGGTCATAAAGGTCTTAAACAGGGGGGTGAGACTGAGATAAGGGAAACGGATACATGCAAAACTGCCATCTCTACGTATCCTACACGAACTAGATAGTCTAGAAAGGATTGGAATCCATCACAATACACCTATCGTAATTAATCGAATCGCAAAGTGTTAGCCAATGAGAGAATCTTGAAACGTCTTAAAGGTCTTAAAGTCTTAAATGTCTTAAATGAGTGTTTTGCGCCGAAAGTGCAGGGAAGTGATTGGCGATTGAAGACGTTAGTCATTTGCTTTGGTGTGTTTTTTAGTTGAACTTTTAAACAGCACAAAACAACACCTTGAATAGTAAGTTGCTGGAATACATGTGCACTGGTATTTATTATTACATTAAATGTAATGGAATGGATAATAACAAAATTGTATGCAGTGATTGAAAAGCAGCTTACAATACGGAATATCCACCATACGACATGCCAGACTGATTTACGGGCAAGTCGGGTTAGGTTATCGGATATGCTCATATATGTAGGTTGTTTGAAAATAAAAGTAATATACACATGACTTGTCGGTGTATGATTGCGAGGTCTCACGGCGGATATGGAATCTCCGGCGGTCGTCCGTGCCTGTATGGAGTTGGTATCCAATGTTTTGGACCGACATCCTCCGAAAGAACATGATTTTGTTGAGTCTCCTAGGCTTGCCCACTTGTCTTTCTGGTGGTGGGTTGTTTTACAACGCTTTCAGTATCCAGACAGGCTTCCACATGCAAGCGAATACAAGTTCAGCTTACTGTCAGATGTGGTTGAAAACTTGGAAATATTTAAAGGAAATACAGATGTAAGCAATTTAAACACAAGACGCAAATGTGACGTTCATATTCCAGATGCCAACTAAATATCAGGGAGGAGTATCCTACACAGGTACCAAGTTATTCAGGAATCTTCCACGTACAATTACGAGCTGAAATTGTGATGTAAAAGTGTTAAAGCCAACATTTAAAGATTACCTCTTAATTGCTCCCTTTTACTTTGTAGATCTTATCTGTATTGAAAATTTGTAATCATAATGCATATCTGAATGTTAAATAAGATTTTTTATACTTACTATAACATTTCCTGAACTGTATGTATATCTATATGTGAAATAAGTTTCTGTGCTTGTTCTGCGACGTTCTGCATCCTTTGGTTTCCCAAAGAAGGATGTATGTCCAAATAAATTCTCTGCTTCTCTGTGAGTAGTGTATATGGCCAGCGAGCTGGGAGCGAATTGGTGTGAATAAAAGTAATGATGATGGCAGGAGTGATCACTGAGAGGTGAGCTTGAAGGAGGACTGGTGTAAAGATTGACAGTCACTGTACGCAATTTTAACTTAAGACGGTAATACACGGTGCAGGTTCTGGAGACCCTGTAATTCATAAACCCCAAAGTGTGTTGCCACCCCAGTATCCGAAACACCAGTATCCTCGGTACAAAAGTCTTATCTCGAGTGATAGTGTGGAATCTGTAGTGTTGAAGTCTGTATAGGTAAACATTATTTTTCTGATACACTGTCTATTCAGAATGGTTTGAAAAAAAGAGTAGCTTTATTCCCACCGCCTTAGAATATGCCATTAGGAAGGCTGAAGAAAATGAGGAGGGGGCAAAAATGAATGGAACACAGCTGGTTGGTGTATGCTGCTGATGATATTTTTTTTGGGCAAAAGCACATGTCACAGAAAAAAATCATAGAAGCTCTGTTACATGCTAGAAAGAGGTTTATTCTGAATGTAAATGCCGAGAAGGCTAAGTATACATTCATGTCTTTTCACTAGAATGCAGCACAAAAGTGTAACTGAAATACAGCTCTTTGAAAAAATAGTAAAGTTCACATATTTGGGAATGACACTAACAAAACAATTTGCACTCATGAAGAAATAAAGAACAGTGTATTATATTCAGAAAGTGACTTCTGCCATGCAGTTCTAAATCTTTTGCCTTCCTGTCTGCTGTCTAATAATGCAGAGATGAAAATATTGGAACAAAACTTAGTGTCCTGCATTAAGGGAAGAAAATAGACTGAGAATGCTTGAGAACAGGGTGCTGAGGATAATGTTATGACCCAAGAGGGAGGAAGCAACAGGGGGCTGGAGAAAATTACAAGAAGATTCCTAATTTGTATTCTTGCAAAATATTGTTATGATGACCAAATCAGAAAGGATGAAATAGGAATGGCAGGTAGTATGTGTTAGAAGAGAAACGCATACAGAGTCTTAGTAAGAAAACCTGAAGGGAAAATATCTGAAGACCTAGATCTAGAAGGAAGGAAAATGTTAAAATCTATCTTAAAGAAATAAGATTGGAAGGTATGGACTGTATTTTTCTAGGTAATGATGGGGAACAGTGGCAGGCTCTTGTGAACACAGTAATGAACCTTTGGGTTCCACAAAAGGTGAGCAATTTTTTGACTAGAAGAAAACTATTGGGTTCTGAAGATGGGCTGTTCTGTGAAGTAACTTATTTGTTACATGGATCTGGCAGAATTGATATACTTGAATGAAGTGTGGAGTTACTACTGTGCTTGGTCATGCCATAGCTCCAGCAGTCACTGACTTCCCACCATGGTGGCCTGAGCTTGATCACAGGTCAGGTCATGTGGTGGACAAAGTGGCAATGGGGCAGGTTTTCTCTGACCACTTCAGTTTCCCCTGCCAATTCTTATTGCACCATGTGCTCCATACTCATTAATCATCCTATCATTGACATTATATAGTCTTGATACTGACATGTCAGTAAATAACACATTTAACTTAAAAGTTACTATGAAGGTGGATCTTTATTCCACAGAAAACTTCTGATTTCATCATAATATCTGAATATTTCGTACAGGAAATAAAAGTGGGAAACATCTTCAGAATATGATTGTTATCTGCCTAATCCTGAATGAAGTACATGATAAATTTTTGTGTCTTGATGTTTATTGCAGGTGAACCATCAAGTATCCACTCATTAGCTTGGAGCACAACACTTTCTGTCTGCAGGATCTATCATCAAGTGCAGGTTGGTCCGGATTCTTTTTATTTTTGTTCATTTTGAGTAGAGTGCTTTCCTTGTATCAGAATTAAGTTTGCGGTACAGTCCATGAGGTTGCATATCACAATCAGAGGAGATAGGCATTTTATGTATTTTATGTAGTATACTACATGACTTAGGTTTCTTTTTATTATTCTAAGAGAATATTTGGTCTTCTTTCAGAACAGTTTACACCGTTTAATTTAAATGAGGCTCATATTTAGATGTCAACTCTAGAAGTCTGCTCAGTAGGTAGAAGCCTATAAAATGGAGGAAAATTCAATTTTCCTCACTTCAGTTAAAAAGTGCGTTATGGTATTTGTTGAAGTGCTGTAATGTATTGTGTTTTTATATAAGTGACACACTGGATGACTTAATAGCAAAATTTAAAAGATAAAAGGGCTGAGTCCACTTCCAGACATTGAGTCCTAGACAAGATATACCATTTTGACTTTTCACAAGTCACATGTCAGACTTTGTAATAGTACACCTTGAATTAATAGGCTAGAAATTAAACCGTTTAGTATTTATGCGTGCTGTGTGCAGTTTATTCTCAACAAATCTTATAATGCAGACTTACAACTTTTTATGTCAAACTTAGTAAGGTAGAAAGTATTCTAGGATGATCTTGAATGTAGTAACTCAGATATGTTACAGAAAAGTTCATGATATTAAATTGTATTGTCTCTTTCATATACAGAGATGAAAATGAATGTTGACCTTAAGAGTGACTCTTCAGGTGGAATAGGTGTTGACATGTTCAACCACAGCAATGATGAGGATGATGAGGATGATGTTGAGGAGGAGGAGGATGAGGATGAGGATGAGGAGGAGCAAGGCAATGTTGACGATGATGATGGTGACGAAGATGAAGATGAAGATGAAGCTGAAAATGGTGTCTATAACAGTAATGGATGTAATAATTTGGATGTAACACCTACGGATCTGCAAATTAATCACAATTCTTCGACACTTCATATGTCCAGGATCCATTGGCCACCTGGTTCATGGCAAGATGGTACCAGAAGGAGTGCCTTTCAACCTTACAGGGTAGGTAGCGTTGTGGTAGTCATTGATAATGAAATAAAGGACCTGTTTGTTTCAAGTTTATTAACTTTGAGATAATTCAGATCATGAATGTTGTAGATATATCACAACAGACATCAATATATGATGTGGTATTTATCATTCTAAATTCATGCTGAATGTTTCTGTTTTCTGTAGTTGCATTTGTATGCTGTAAATTTGTGGTATATCTTATATTATTCCTGACAGTTAAAAGTGATTTACTTGTATCTGTGTCAAATTCAGAGAGTTCAGAGGATATGTTGAAAGGTTGACAGTAGAGTGAGGAGGACATATCTGTAGTTCATTTGGCACCACCATATTTCTCAATGGAAAGTACACCATCTTGAATTAGAGCAAGGTGGATATATGTTACAGTTTTTCAACCTTTTCCTGGGCGAAGCATTAATTGGTATCATAGTTGATGAAAGTAATGTACGTAGGTCGTACCGAAAGTCATGAGCAACTGTTTTTTGCCTGCAACCTGGGAACAGCAGATGAAAGAGAGTATGGTGATAGGTGGAACCAGCTGTTGTATTAACCTTGAGTGTCTTGTAACATCAATAGCTTGCATCACATGACCAGGATCACTCCTAACAAAATGGCCGACAATGAAATGTCATTTCGCCAGTGTGCTGTCATCGAATTTCTTGTGAAAGAGGAAATCCCTGCTGCAGAAATTCACCAGAGACTTCAGTGTGCTTATGGAAGTGTGTGCATGGGTGCGAGCAGTGTTCGAAGATGGGTGAAACATTTTAAAGACGGGACCACCAGCATTGAAGATGAGCCTCGGAGCGGTCGTCCTCGAACAACCACACCTGAACACAAGAAGGAAAGAGTGGATGAGATCATTCAAGATGACAGGCGTGTGACTGTGAACACAGTAGCCCGAAAACTTGGAATGGGGCACAGTGCAGTACAGGAGATGATTGAAAGCTTGGGCTATGGGAAAGTTTGTGCTCGTTGGGTCCCATGGTTATTGACCGAAGACCACAAAGGTCAGCAAAAAGTCATCACCTCAGAACTGCTGCAGAAATATTGACACGAAGGTGATGATTTTTTGCTCTGTATTGTGATAGGTGACGAAAGCTGGTTTCACCATTTCGAGCCTGAAATGAAACGGCAGAGTATGGAATGGCACCATTTGCATTCTCCATCAAAAAAGAAGGCAAAGACAGTGCCATCAGCTGTGAAGGTGATGGGCACAGTCTCCTGGGATGCAGAGGGGTTTATTCTGGCCAAATTCCTGGAACCTAGGCAGACCATCAATGCTGCTCATTATGTCCAGACACTGCACAAGCTCCGTTGTGCATTGCGCGATAAACGTCTGGGACAAAACATCATCCTGAATGACAACGCTTGCCTCACATTGGAAGCAATTGCAAAGATGGGGTGGGAAGTTCTTCCACACCCCTCCTATAGCCCTGATCTGGCACCCTCTGGGAGGGACTTTAAGCCTTGTGTCCCGGCACATAAAAGATCCTCATGTAAAAGACCTCTGAGCAAAATTAGGCAGTTTCCCACCCAAGTAGTTTCCAATTCCTCTGGTAGATGGGGAAGCATCAGGGACCACTACTGGAGAGGGCTGACATCGCTGGCAGAAAGGGGCTGCTATCGAGCACCAGTAGTGGAAGAATGTGGCGACTAGTTAGAATAATTAAAAAGGGGGACACACAATAGATCAATAAATGGTCGCAGTGCATGGGGTAACCCACCCCCTCCGGATAATAATAATAATAATAATAATAATAATAATAATAATAATAATAAGTATTGCATTACAAATATGAGTAAGTGGAGAAATTATAAATGGTGAACTTAATTTTATTATTCTGTTTGAAATTTCATCATATCCACTTGAGTTTTTAGTCTTTAATGATTTAATAATTTTATCAATTTCATAAGTGGAGGCATACTGCCAATTCATATTAGTAAAAGGTCTACTAAATATATTTACCAAGTTGATTGGATTGGATAAATGGGAGCTTATATATTTATTATTATCTGATATAACAGAATCAGCTATAGATAGAAAGTGTTTATTAAAAGCATTTGCAATCTTGTTCTGATTCATTATTACTTTATTATCTACTGTTATGGAATGAATACCTTTATCCCTTTATCCTCATTTATTATTTACCAAGTANAAGAATAATTCTATTGTAATATGATTTTTTTTGCAGCTATAATTACTTTTGATAAAAGAATTTAAAGTATTGTTTATGATATATTTTAAGGTTTAAATCATCACTATGTCTGCGTAAAAACAAGAGTTCTCTCTTTCTTTTGCACAAGGTCATTATCCCTTTTGTAATCCATTTATTATTAATAATATTATATTTTATTTCCTTTTTTGGGAAACGTGTAAAAAACATCTTAAATAAATATCATGAAAGTTGTTAAACATGTTATTAACATTATTGTCCCCAAAAATATTGTCCCACTGTTCCAAACTTAATAACATTTGAAATTCAGCTGTAGTATTTTTGTTAATGTTTCTAGTAAGGCTAGATCAAAATATATTATTAGGTACAGTAATATTCTTAGATGTTATGAGCTGCGCATCATGATCAGACAGTCCATTAATACATGGTTTAATGCTATAACTTTTAGTGTTACCAATAAATATAATATAAATTACCTTATGCTGGACACACTTTTGAAGGAAATTGGAGTTCATAGTGGAAGATGTGAATGACTGCTTGGCTTTTATTACTACAGCATTCTTAATTCAACAGTTAAATGCTGCTGTCATGGTGTTCGCTGAAACAGTAGGATAATAGAACTTCAGATACAGAAGTAACTTTGCAGGACAGTAAACCTTTGGTTTGTTATTGATAACAAAAGAGTCCTGTTCATGAAATAACATAGTTAACTAAAAAGGGAGTTTCTCAAGATGAAAGAGTCGTTATGCCATTCTAATGAAAGTAGGTAACAGTTACTGTTAGCATTACAGTAAATGCTTAAAATGTTGACCTTGCATTGCCACACTAACTTCAGCTCGGTGATGCCAGGATTGATAAACATGCCTAGAAATGTCGAGAGTGTTGCATACCAAGGTTCAGCTATTTTGAATGTGCTGCAGTATCCACTACTGAAATGTAGAGCACATTTTGCAGAGAAAGTAATCAAGGGGATGTAGGTCTGTTGAATGACATTGCTAAGATGCTTGTCCCAGCCTTCCTATCCATTGCCCAGGGTAGGCAGTCTCAAGGTAATTTTTGGTGGTGTGACTGAAACTGGCTGTGACACCATCATGCATTAATCAGAGTTTTTGTCGATTATTCAGTGAGATAGGATCCAGTAACTGTGACAAAGTGTGTTTCAAAAAGTGATGCCACCATTGAGTTTGTAGGCAAAATGTGTGGGCTTAGTCTCCAACAGTAACAGCTGAAATGTTAATTGGAAACACCCTTGGCATCTGGATTGAATTCTACTATTACATTATGCCAAATGTGCATATTGTGGAAATTTAGTATGCTGTTTCTTGTGAAGTCTGCATTTTTGGTGAAGGGAGTGGGGCTGCTAAGGAAGCATTCTTCACATTGTTGAAGGAACCACTGGAAATATTCTTGGCATGGGCGAAAATCAAGCAGACTTAGGGTTTGTAGCTGTTACTAATGGTATGAGTACAGCAATTGCTGTGGAGAACCTACTGCACTGTCATGCCACATATTCAGCTGTTTGTCCTCAACAAATGCTGGTTCATGGATTAACTCTCATCTTATTATGTGCTCTTCCACATCAGCTGTTTTTTTCTGCATGTCTCTCTCTTCTGTTGTCTGCTGTAGAAGGGTGAACAGTACGGTTTCCTTGCTGTGATGATCAGTGGCACGAAATTTGTGTGGGTTTGGAAGTCTGCTTTGAGGATACCTCTCTGCATACAACCTTACAGCTGGTGTACAAGTACTGTGGGCTTCACTGAGAATTAAATGTGTAACAGTGTATTCTCAGAATGTGAAGTCTATTATTCTAAGCACAGATTCACAAAGCAAGTGACAGTATTCATACAGTTCACTGGAACTGAATACTTGGTGTTATATGATAGCATATGTAGTCAACTCATTATCACTGTAAACATGATGATCATATGTGCGATTACTGAATGGGCAAGGTGGTAGTGATGAGACAAGAAGTCTTTTACATTTTCTACTTTCAACTCTAGTTTGGTTCAAAAGTGGCCCTAGCATCAGTTACTTTTGTAACCAAACTTCTATTATCCTGCTGTCAACAGGAACATGTTCAAATGGTGCTAGTTTATTACAGAAGCATTTTTGTAACTGTGTTTATATACATTGTCTCCATTGTTTTGGACCATAACACTCACCCTGGGACACCCAGTATACCCCAGAAAGATATTCTGCTGCTCAGTACGGGTTGGGCATAATACATTACACTGAAGAAATTTATAGCTGGGATAAGGGCATGCTGTAAACCCAGCTTTTGGACTTCAGTCACTCATCTCAGTTTTCATTAATTTCCTTTAGTGTGGCATTCTTTGGTAGAGGTGAGGCAGGAATGTAGCTCAGGGGCAGTGAAGGGATGAAGACAATGTAATTGAACATTTTACATGAAAATGCATATAAAGAACTTTTGGGTTTTCCAAAATTAAAATAAAAAAAAAATATATTTTTTTTTGGGATGGGGGAAGTGACCAGTTATCTGTAAAAATCTATCAGGGAAGCAGTTAATGACTGAATGATGGTGTGGAATTGTATTTAGGTTACCATTGTGCTGACTGAGCTTTCTCTGTTTGTAAGTAGGTGTTGTAATAATACCTTCAAGTGTGCTACAGCTGCCTCATTCCAAATCCTTTCCTATGCCCCCAGCTCACCACTCATCACCTTTGCATCTTGTTTGATGCTGTATAACTTTTACAGCAGAAACAGAATCGTTAAATGATCTAGGAGGAAGTCAGTTTCCTTCTATACTTTGCTTTAGAATATGCCATCATGAAGGTCCAAGAGAACCAGGTAGGACTGAAATCGAATGGTATGCATCAACTTCTGGTTTGTGTTGATGATGTTAATTTACTTGGGCATGACATAAATACCATAAAGAAGAAGACAGTCTGTAATAGATGTCTAGAAGTAAACAGAGGAAACTAAGTATACACCCGTATCTTATCACCAAAATTCAGGATAGTATCATGATATAAAGATAGATAAAGTATCCTTTGAACAGGTGCAGAGTTTAGACATTTTGGAATGACAGTAACAAATCAGAATGTCATTCTTGAGGAAATCAAGAGCACATTACATTTGGGGGATGGTTTGCTGTTGTTCAATTCAGAGTTTTCTATCTTCTTGCCTGCTGCCTAAAAACATCAAGATTAATATATACAAAACTTATTTTGCCTCTGTGGGTGTGAAACTAACTTACTTTTTTTTTATTTATCTCATTTTGGTCCGTTACACTATCAATCACTAATTGTCAATAGATTTTCCGTCAAGTGCAACAATATATATTTTGATCACTTAATTATCTCATCTGCCTTACATGTTTCGGTTCCAAGGAACCATCTTCAGAGGCACTTATAACAAACCATGAAAACACTGGCACAGCTCAACATTCACAATATGTAATTATTCGTGGAAANCCCAGTAGGGCTGGATATAAAATTTTGTCACATACAAAGTTTTACATAAAAGATCGCATGCAATAAATATAATATACAATATTAAATATAACATAACATTTAAGATATAACATATTAAAATATATATAAGGTAAATAGAGCCTCATACAAAGAGCACAAGTTGTCAGTACAATTTTCCCATTTAGAAAAATACATACTTGTTAAGTCAATTCTCAGCCATAACTGACTAGAATTGTCAGTGTTAAATTGATTAGTACAGCCGCTATTAAATCCAACCAAAGAGAGTAACTTATAGTTTTGTCTCCTTTTTTATGTATTGGATTAATCACTGCATATTCGAGTCTTTCAGGATATCCATTGTTATTGAGTTATAAGTTATAAAAAAACTAAGGGTTTACTTATTTGTTGTCTACACAGTTTTATTAATTTGTTAGGTATACCATCAAATCCTGAAGAGTTTTTGGATTTGAGCTTACTAATCGCACTACTTATCTCGTCTTCAGTGACTAAATTAAAGTTCAAAGCAGGGAAACCATTTGGACAATAAGTATACAAATATTTCATTGCCACGTGTGAGTTAGTTTTCTTTATATTGAGATTTTCTGTTATTGATGAAAAATATTTATTGAATCTATGGGCTCCTTCATCAATATTTACTTTTACATTATTCAGTTGATATGATTTAGGTATCTTTGCTCCGTGTTGTTTTTATCCTGTCCTCAGCTGATACAATTAGTCAATTATAATGTAATCTCTTCACTTCTCTTATTACTCTTCTTAGTATCCTACAGTAGATTTTATAATAAGATTACACATGGTCTCAGATATTAAGGAAAGAATGTAGATGTATGTATAAGAACAGAGTGCTGACAAGAATATTTGGACATAAAAGAGGTATGAGTTAATAGGAGGCTGGAGAAAATTTCATGATGAGGAGCTCCATAACTTAACTTCTCAGCAGATATTAGTATGATCAAGTCAGGGAGGGTGAGCTGGGCAGGGCCTGTGCTATTGTATTGTATTTATTGCACGTTCCAGCACATCCATACAAGGTCAAAGCCATTGGATACAGAACCTGTCACACCACTAGCTTGCTAAATCAGCAAGTAGCCAACATAACAATGCATATAAACGCACAACAATAAATTGAGCATATGACACCCCTACACATCACTGCAACTACAAAACCTACCATGTGTATATAAGATATACTACAAAATTAGAACACATACAGTATGTATAGGAGGGGAGAATGCATAAACAATTTTGAAAGGAAAATATGAAGGAAGGAGACCACTAGGAAGATCTAGACATATATGGGAGGATAGTATTAAAATGTGTCTCAGAGACGTAGGCTGAAGGTGTGGACTAGATCCATCTTGCCCAGGATAGAGAAACATGGCAGGCCGTTGTGCATATGGTAATGAAGGTTCCAAAAGATGCTTGGAATTGTATGGATGGCTGAATAGCTGCTGGCTTCTTAAGAAGGATGTAATTCCATGGTAGGTAGTTATGAGATAATCAGTCTGTATAAACGTGTCCCGTGCAGAGGAGTCATGTTATTGTGTTCCATGATGTGTGTGCTACTTGTTGGTTATATTTAATCTTTATGATGTCATCAAAATGTTTTTGCATTTGGATGTTCTGATATGTGTAGCCCACCATGGTACTAACAAATTTACAACGTGGAAACATTCCCACTGCAACATCTGCGCCAGAGCAAACTGATGTCAGCCTGCACCATCGTGCTGGTCAAGGAGAGATTACTGCACTTGATATTGATCAAGGTATGGAAATATTGTACTTATTTAGTACTTATATACTTCCAGCAATTTGTTTTCTACAGATTAATAGTCTTACAAATTTATATTAACGAAAATAAGAATAATAAATAATTGTTTATAACTACAAAGATTCCAGATATCAGCTTCATTGGTAATTCTGATAACATCCGTATAGAAGCTTGTCTGATACTTTTGTAAACATTTCTCATTTAATTAGTGCAGTGCTTCACCTCACATAGTAGAATGCAATAAGATCAAAAGGGCTCTGCCCCTTAGAATATATTAAACATTATGAAATTTCATTTAAAATTTGAATAACTTGAAAGAAACTGGGCTGATAGCACCATACACTAATGTTTGAAGTGGAATGGACAAACACTTAACAAAAACTGTACAGGCTATAAAGCCCACTTGTAAGGATGGGATATGAACATGCATTTTAGTATAACCCCATAGAAACATGTCTATAGAATCACATCCAGAGATCTGTGGTTCAGTGATTTTAAGTTTCCACAACAAATCTACCTTGGGAATATATGGAAGGGTTGGAAAATGACACTTTTTTTTTTGTCAGAATATCCCACAGGAAGACACTATTTTGGAGACTGAAGTGTAAATGGCAGGGAAATATTAAAATTGATCGTCAAGATTTAGAATGTGAGAGTGTGGACCAGAGTCACGTGGCTCAAGATAGGTTTATTGGTGAGTTCTTGTGAATGTGATAATGAACTTTAAGGTTTCATAATGGGTAGGGAATTTCTTGACAAGTTGACCAACCATTATATTCACAGGAAGGACTGTTCCATGTAGTCAGTGAAAGTTTACACTGTAACATAACATTGCTGCGTCATCTCTGCTGATATCATGCCACATGTTGTGTAACTTTGTTGTGATCTTCCAAATATGTTTTATTTGCAGTAATCTTCTCATCTAGAAATATATATTAAATTTCTTTTAACCCAAAGTTACATCAATGTTCTGTAGATGTCTTTATCTGCTGTAATCTTTTGATCTCAAGAAAATGTTCTGAGTTGGTGTTCCCAAAGAATTTTCGCCTGTTCTGACATTTTCATCCGTGGAAACATGTTAAATCATGGTTCCTGAAATATTAGTCTGCAGTAATTCTTTGGCCAAAAAAACTAACAAAACACTGAATCAAAACTAAAAGGAAACTGCTCCTGCAATGCAGAATTAATGAAGTACTAAAATTTGTTATTAACTCCTCAGTTAGTAGTATCTTGACATATTTTCGTGTTAACTTAATGTTACTGAGAGACACACTGTTGCCATAATTCCCTTTTGCTTCCTACTTTCTCCCGGTTAGTGTGATGTGCTGTTTCCATTTTGCACAGAAAATGATGTTGATATTAATGATAATGGGAGCTATAACATGCATTATATTTCCCTCATGCTTTCTTCTGTCTGTTATGTCTTCATTTAACAGAATATGATGTTGATGTCAAAGACAGCAATGGTCTCACTGCACTTATGTGGGCTAGTTCATATGGGCAGCTTCCTACAGTGCAACTTTTACTAAAACGGGGAGCTCAGCTAGAATTTGAAGGCCAGGAAGGAGAGACACCACTTCTTTTGGCAGCAGCTGGTGGTCATCATGAAGTTGTGAGGCTGTTACTTACAGAAGGTGCTGCTGTAAACCATGCAGATGAGGTGAGGCACTAGTTTTCACACAGATTTGTTTTCTCCTTCCTTGATATAGTTGTCCACCAGGTGAGACTACTAATTAATCAGTTTACTTTCATTGTCTTCTCTTTGCAGATTGGTAATACTGCACTTATGTATGCAGCTCATGGTGATCATCCCCACTGTACCAATGAATTGCTTATACGTGGAGCTGATGTTACGATGGTAAACCTCAATGGTGACTCAGCATTTGGCATTGCTATAAAAAGAGGAAGCAAACTAGGTACTGTTCAGCTAATAGCTCAGTCTTGATAAGTTGATAAAGAGCACTCAGAATGGACTTGTATGCCTGCTTTTCCCTAAGTTTAGGCCTTATATTCTCTTTGCTCTTATAGGGTGAGTCTGAAGGCCATTATGCACCTACTGCTATTGTAAACAGCTCTGATTAAATTAGATAAAAGCGGTGTATATTAAGCAACCCTTGCACTGGGATTGGTTTGAATCTGTTATGCATTACTGTAGACAGCATGTTCTGAAATATATTTCTTTGTGTAATTATTGGAAGTGGCCTCAACATGTTTGCAGACATGTTATTTGTAAGACATGCTAATTCATTGTGAGAAACAGTTTCAGTTAAATTTGTGGTTGCTTCTTTAAGTTCAAAGATATTGTCTCTGTACATTGCAGCCCTTATTGCTTTCTGTTATTTTCACTGTTAGAATTTGTAGTAGTGTCACTGATATGTGAGCAGTGTGCAGTAATGCCATCTGCTCAGAAATTGTCAGTGGCAAAGGAACAGAGTGGCAGTACATATGGCTATTGACACTGATGTGCCTTAAAACCCACAAACACATGCCATGAAAATCGTTTTCACTGGCGTAAAGCTTACAGTACATCTTACTAGAAGCTCCGTGCATTATAGACCTCAGAGCTTTATACTTTGATGCTGCTTTTGTCCTGATATTAATTAAATGGAAGTATGGATATAGACAAATCATATTTTTGCATAAATTTAATGCATGTTGTGGAGACTGTGTGCTCCTGTTTTTGAACATTAAAACTAAAAATAAATGAACAGATTACATAAAATCTGGAATTTTGTGTCCACCAAAGACTTTGTCAGAGAAGTGGTATTTTGGTTCATGCTGGTTTAGCATAATCTTTATTCTACATGAAGGTCATATCATACTTTATTGATGTTCTCAGAAATGTCTTTTCATAAAGTAAATTTGCGACTAGGATGTTCTGGTGGCAACTATATTTCAATTTGTGGGTAACAGTCTGCAATCAGGGAGTAAGGAATTTTAAATTCCCTGCTTTTATATGGGTGACAGCCATATTTTAACTTGGGAATAACAGTGTTAGTCCTGAAGAAATGGGGTGCATTGACTTAAATAACATTCATCACCACCTTGAGAACCTCAGATTTATTTAATAACTGTATTTTATTTTATGTTACAGCTCAAGCAGTGATGGAAAACTACCTCCTTACCCTTCTGAGCTGACACTGCCAATAATATGGTTTTTAAAATTTTTTGACATCTGCACTACTTCTGTGAGAAGAGTTGTAAATATGGATTATTACAATTTTAACTTTTTAAATTGTACTATACATAATATAATATACATTATGTGCTGTAATATATATGTAATATATATCTCAAATGGCAAACTTGATGTACCCAGTATTCCTGTAGGTAATTCTATAATTAAAAGTCATAGCCATCCTGAAATTGTCATGTTTGCATTTGTGTTGCTGCCTTCTCCCTTAATAGAGGAATTAATTAAGGGTGGGGAAGGAGGGAAGGAATACATAAGTAAGTAAGTAAGTAAAAAGCTATCTTGTAACAGGCCGTGAAGGCCCATAGGGTTGTGAGACGTTGAGGGTCGCACAGTATCTAGACAATTGGCTCAAAAATGGCGGTAAGATTGTAAGCCTTATGCGCCAGCTGCACTTTACTCCCCAGGAAAATTATTTATTTAACTCCTGGTACTCATTTCTGTTAGAGGCTGAGTGAACCCCAGGGCCATAGTGCAGTTGGAAGGATTAGCTCAACTGAAAAAAAATCCAATGATCTCATCGGGACTTGAACCCGCGACCTTCTGACTTGTAGCATGATGCCTCAACCACTATGCTACCGCATGCCCCAATAAATAAATAATGGAAGAAAAAAGAGAAAAAAAAAAAACGTATTTATAAATATATGTAGTATTAAGTAAAAATGTATATACTGTGACATGAAAGCTGGAATAGTGGAACAGTACTTTCAATTTGAAGCAAGTAAATAAATTGAATTACCAGTCCAAACTCTGTGTTTAGTCATTAGCACATGACTATAGACTTTTTTTAACTTGAAATTTTCCTTACAATTTTCACTTATTTTTGACCTGTTACCATGAGAAAGAGTGTACCTTAAATCAGAAATAACCGCTGTATTTTTTCATGTAATTTACACATATTTTAACAAGGAATTTATGTAGAAGTGTTCATAAAATGTGCAGATATACTTTTATTTTACATATCAGACTAAGGTTAGCAGAATTATGGTTGTATGATTTTGAGGAGAAATGTTAATTTCAACTGAAATCCATGTAATTTATAACCATAATTTTTTAACCCAGCCATATAACTTATATTTGCCCATGTTTGGCACACAGGCAGGTCACACATGATTGTTAATTAAGCAAATGATTATACAGGTGATATGGAACTTCTTTGTTGTACTTAACACAACAAGGCCACCAGATGTATTTGATGAGGGGCTCCCACTGACAGAAACAGGTTATATTTATGACAGCATCCTTTAGTAGACATACTTTCAGTTTCCTAGAAGTGCCATCGATGTAATTGAGTATCAGTCATGTTCCACTCATGGCAGTGCAGAAGAAATAATGCCTTTCACAGATGGCCAGATCAGGCTCCCTTGGTGAGCAGAATATAGTATCGGTCACTGAATGTACTTTATGCAATACATGGATGGGAAAGAGACTGTTAGATACACAGTCATGGCATGGCATGACTGTAGCTCTGAATGGCTGACTGTAAAACATGTTGGTCTTCCTCCTCTTTCTGTTCATGTAAGACATTCAGACATAAGTTTTGTATATTTATGGAATTTAAATGGCAAAATATACTCTTGAACAGCAAGTCTTTCTGTTCAATACACATGTGAAAATATAATCATAAGTTGTGTAAAAGAAGGTATACATAAGTATACTACTATTCAGGTCCCAACTTTATCAATTATTTTGGAATTGGTGAAGAAAATGCATTTCTTAATAAAGAAATATCCTAGACAGAATGCTGTGCTGACTGAGGAAAATCTAGACAAAACTGGAACCAGATTAGAACATTCACCTCACAAATCCCTGACATGATCAGCTGAAGAGCACAATTTTTGACCACAATGGCATGGAGAGTTACCAGAAAGTTACATCTATGGCCATTTAAAATGAGACAGGTTCAAGTAATTGGTGATGGTGATTATGTGAGAATAAACAAATTTTGTGTTTAGGGGGAGGGTGCTGTATTAGATGGTCTGCTTGATCAGAAACTTGCATTTTATACTGATGAAGCTCATTTTCATCTGGGTGGGTATATCAGTGCTCAGAGCAGTAGTAATCTGAGACAGACTTTTGAAGTACTCCTTGATCAGAACATTGATGTGTAGGACCCATATTTTAGAGACTGATGAGTTGGAGACTGGCCTGCAAGGTCTTTTTTATCTGTGGGGAAACCCAGAAAACAAAGTTCATTCAAATAATCCCTACACCCTGGATGAATTTTGGAATAACATCTCTGAAACAATTGCGTCTGTTGAGGTCATTGAACTCAAACGAGTGTCAGTCATTCTTTTCAAGAGATTTGAAGTTTGTTTAAGAGCACAAAGGAGACATTCTGAGCTTCTACTGTGATGGTGATTTTGCCCTGTCTCTTTCCTTCTGGCTTTCCCACCAATATCCTATACGCATTCCTCGTCTCCCCCATTCGTGCTACATGCCCTACCCACTTCATCCTCCTTGACTTGATCATTCTAATTATACTTGGAGAAGAGTAGAAGTTATGAAGCTCCTCATTATGCTGTATTCTCCAAGCTCCTGTCACTTCATCCCTCTTCAGTCCAAATATTCTCCTCAACACCCTGTTCTCAAACACCCACAGTCTATGTTCCTCCCTTAATGGACTATTTTAAAATAGCATTAAATTTTACAGCAGTTATTCATGGGTCACTAGAGCCAGAATATAAATTTTATATGAAGATAGATTGTAATTATTCGTAAAAATTAAGTATTGTAGTGAATATTTACAGATTTTTATTTTGCATTAGAGCATTTATCATTTTAAATATGGGAGAAATTGTAAGAGTTTAGAAACGCTGAGCTGATACCACTTCGCTAATCGGATACAGAATACGTGATAGCCAAAGTTCGAGACAGGCGTCTTGCTGATGACAGTTACCAGCGAGAGAGTAAGAGAGCGATCGTTTCAGCGAGACAGATATCTACTTCCTCAATCCCCAAGTTTAAAATTATATGTCCTGTAATAGAAAATACAAATTTGAAAATATTGTGGTATGTAGACGCTTTGCTAAGCGGTGCATCTGTGAACAACGACCTTTTCTGGGCAGCTGCATGGTAAACACGTTACTGCGACAACTAATACGCACGCAACAGTAGAGTTACTCTTGGAAACGGGGTGTTTGTACGTGGTCCGTGCCGGGCTGTTATAAACAAGGGACAAAGTCAGTTATTAGGAAGTTCTATACTGGAGGCTGTGAAGAAAGAACACGAACGCATGATGCTGAAGAATCTTTATTGTTAGAAGCCGTTGCCAGGCAACGGCTGGTGAAGGCATAGCAGACTGGAAAAGCTTAGCGTGTGCTGTGGTGATTTGTGAAATGTGGAGATTAGCGATGGCGCTGTAATTACTTGTAGCTCCGAGTTGTGTATATAAGTGGTCAAGAAATTCATTCATCAATCCATACTTCTAAATCGTGACTATATTCACTGTAATATTAAACAGTGCTTATGGATTAACAATTACAAATTTGGCAATGTTACGAAAATTTAGATTATAAATTAAAAATTTAACTTACAGTGTTTTAAATAGTATGCTCTTTCCAAAAGTTGAATAACAGAAACAACGTTAACGCATTGTAACCTGTATTTACAATTGAAATGATGTAGAAAATTATAGCTGGAAGAGTCTTCAATATTATGACGTATTACGAGCAGGGCCGGAGCGCTATCCAGTGAGCTAAATTGCAGTTTCCTATAGTACGAGTATTAAGAGCGTATATTACTAAAGCATAACATGAAAACACAAGATTTGTAGGACCAGAATTCTTTGAACGCAGATTTCTTGTCCTTCCTCTCCTTTTAATGATGGGGGCGTGGGTATCAGCAGTGTCTAATGTTTCTTTCTAAGGCGGAGTTCTGACACGATTCAGTTTAGGCAACGGCATTACATCTAATGTTTCTTTCTAAGGCGGAGTTCTGACACGATTCAATTTAGGCAACGGCATTACAGTCTAATGTTTCTTTCTAAGGCGGAGTTCTGACACGATTCAATTTTGGCAACGGCATTACAGTTAAAAAGTCACATATTGCACAAAGAAGAACATGAAATAATATTTTTCAGATCCATCACGGAATTGTATACCAGTGTTACTTGTACGATGAATAAATATGCTAATGCACTCAATAATGGGAAAACCTGTAGCATTCTTGAAAGAGATGCGAATATTTTGGAAGGGGTACCTGAGAGGATGAGACACTTAGAAGAGTCAAGTGTAAATAGGATACTATCAAAGAAACTTTAAAGAAATGAGGCGTGACGTATTTGACTGGACTGAAGTGGCTCTCGTGAGCACAAATATGAACCTTCCGGTTCTGCATAAGGCCGAAAATGTTGGAACATTATAGCGATTATCAGGACGAACGCTCTTCTACAGAGTTGTTTCCTGTCCTTATTTTACGAACGAGACAAGTACTCGTAAGCATGAAATATTGGCGTAATAATTTAGAGCTCCGAACAACAGTATTTGAAGACAAATTTTTGAGAAAGTCCGGTCTAAATTTCTATTCAAAACCTCAACTCTGAAGAAGGTCCACGGAAACTTCTTGAGTAGTTGATAGACGTTCAGCTGGTCAAGAAATTACATTCTAATTTCTAGTAATTCCAAGGTTCATTATTGAGTTCACGAAACCTCGCCAACTAAGCAAACTCAATTCAGTTAACTTACACCATATTTCACTAGGATATGTTTCAATATTACCTTCAAATATACGCCTACGTCTCCAAAGTAGTGTTTTCCGTTCAGATTTCCCGACCAAAATTTTCTATACATTTCTCATTTTGCCCATGAGCCATGCATTGCTGATTTAATAACCGCAATAACATTAGAGAAGAGTGCAAATTATGAACAGCCTCATTATGTAATGTTCTCCAGCTCTCTCTTACCTGATCATTCTTAAATGTAAATAGCTCAAGATAGAAATATATTCAGCGGCATTAAAATTATAATTTTATGCTGCTGAAGAGTATGCGACAAAGTCGGGAGATTTTATATTGTCAGTTTCTTTTAGAGTTTGAATAATTACATGATCAAAATCCTAGCACACTTCCCTTTTTAGTTTTTTATTGCTGTTCATTCTGGACCCCTGAAATATTCAGCTGGTCTCATAGGCGTTCTTCGAGATTTATGCCTGAATCGGGGTGCTCATAAAACAG